AGGTAGGGCTAGGAAGACAAAAAGCAAGTTATAAAACCATGTGTATGAATGCATTTCATTAAAAAAGTAATAAAAGAAATAGAAAGGCATAGAAAAAAGTCTGAAAAGACATACCAAAATGTTAACAGTGGTTATAATCAGATGGTGTAAAACATGTGATTTTTTTTCTTTTCACTCATCTATAGTTTCTTTAAAAAAAAAAAAGTATATATATTATTTATGTACCAAAAAGGCATTTAAAAAAGGAGGGGGGAAAAACGTGGTACTCTTGGGAAAGTCTACTTGTCCACCTCATACTAATCCTTAAATTCTTACATTTGCTGCAAGAACGGACTAACTGCTTGCCACACCGTAAGACGCTGCTACAACCATCCATCTAAAGCCGGGACTTTATTATGGAAGGCGGTTCCACAGGGTAAACAAGTAACACATTCCCCACGGCTGCAGATCACCAGACCTGTCAGTCATGTGCCAGAACGTCCCCCAGTCGGACTCCGCCGGGACTTTATTATGGAAAGCGGTTCCACAGGGTAAACAAGTAACACATTCCCCGCGGCTGCAGATCACCAGACCTGTCAGTCATGTGCCAGAACGTCCCCCAGTCGGACTCCGCTGCGGCTCCTCTGGGCTCCTGCCAGGCGCACAGGGTCCGTGTGGCCTGGGGACCACGAGAGTGGGCGCTGCACGATCCCGCGGGAAACAGGCCCGCCAGCTGCTCCTCAGTGGAGCCCACAAAGGACAACACCGCCGCCAGGGTTCGCAAAGACTCCTCTGCGCTGCGCATGTTTTTAATTGAAAAGAGTGTTTCTTCTACTTGCCCTGCTGCTCCTCCCCCAACACACACACACACACACACACACACACACACACACACACTCACTCCTAAATCCACTAGCCCATTTCCAGCTGCCAGATTCGTGCCCAAGTCTCCTTCCTGCATTTAGAGGGGACCTAGAAGACCCATATCCTTGAGTCAGGCGTGTGGAGGGGACAGGTGAGTAACACACATTTCTACACAGGATCCCCTCTCCACGCCGTCACGTCCCCCACCCCACTCCCCCAGAATATATAACATTTCTTTGGGAGAAACCATGTAACCAGAAATTACGATCCGTTTAAACCGTGCGTATCATTTAAAAAATCTATGTGGACATGGATCTGTCAGCTTCTAGTTTAAACCGTCAGCATTTCAAACTGCAGGGACATTTCATGGGAACAAGAGAATCGAAACTTCTAGAAGGACAGACGGCGCAAACGGCCCGCAGAGAGCAAGAGGGCTCCCTCCTGAAGCACAGCCTCCCTCGCTGGCTGCCGGGGCCAAGTCACATCCCATTGCCTCCCCCTGAGCGCGCACCTGGCCAGGACCTTCTGAGAGGTCGCCCTGTGAGCCCTGGCACGCCCGCTGGCTGGCTCTAGAGGGCAGACTTTTCTACGAAATTCACTCTATCTATCTATCTATCTATCTATCTATCTATCTATCTATCTATTCTTCACCTGAGGATATTTTCCACTGATTTTTAGAGAGAGTGGAAAAGAGAGGAAAACACAGAGAGAAACATCGATGTGAGAGAAACACATCGACTGGTTGCCTCCTGCATGAGCCCCGACCAGGGCCCAGGCCAGGGAGGTACGTGCCCTCGACTGGAATCGAACCTGGGACCCTTCGGTTCGTAGGCCGACGCGCTATCCACTGAGCCGAACCAGCCGGGGCAAGAAAGCCCTCTTTTTAAACAGGCTGATGGCGGTGATTGTGGGCAGCACATTACTATTCTGTTTCACCCCTGACTTGGTGTTTCACATCAAATGACGCCACACCAGTCATGGCTCAGCAAACCGCCCCCTGAAGGCCGAGCTGTGGCCTGTCCCCGCCTGGAGCGGCCCGCGAGGAGGCTGCAGGCTGCAGGCCAGCTGCCCGCTGTGGGCAGTGCCCCTGGGGTGGGCAGGCCCTGTTTGCCCTGCTCTGCCCACTGCGCGGCTCCTCCCTGCACAGAGCGGGCTCCTGTCTGGGAAGGGGGCGGGCAGGGCACGGCAACCCCCCAGCCAGGACTCAGTTTGCTGCTCTGTGGTCTCGGGGCCTCCCACGCGGCTTGAAGGAACCACTGCCTCCACTGACGCCATCAACAAAGAGCTCAAAGTGGGTCTGTCCCAGGTCTGGCCTCTCAGGGTGTGTGATCCTCACACTCCCCGGGAGAGATCTCTGCAAAATCAGGATCCTTCCGTTCTGATGCTCACGTGGACACTGGCGTTGGCCGTGGACATATGTTAAAATAGCGTATCTGGCCGTGGACATATGTTAAAATAGCGTATCTACGAATACAAGGGAACTATTTTTGCCCCAGCCGGTTTGGCTCAGTGGATAGAGCATCAGCCTGTGGTCAAGGGTTCGATTCGGGTCAAGGGCACGGAGCTCGCTTGCAGGTTCCTCCCCGACCGGGGCCCTGGTCGGGGCACGTGCAGGAGGCAACCAATCGATGTGTTTCTGACACATCAATGTTTCTGTCTCTCCCTCTCTCTTCCACTCTCTCTAAAAATCAATGGAAAAATATCCGTGGGTGAGGATTAAAAAGAGAGAGAGAGAGAGAACTGCTTTTCTTGGCCTCAAGGATGACCAAAGGGAGACCAGCGTGGGGCTCGTAGACGGGCACATGACCAGGGTCAGGAGACCCTGACGTGGGGCCCCGCGCTGCACACTCCCTGGTGACCTGGGCATGTCGCTTGCTGACTCGGCCTCCTGCCTACAAAACAGGGGCACTGATCTCCGCTCAGGCCGCCCCGGCTGAGCCTGAAGGGACAGCGTGCAGGTGAGTATGGCGGCGAGGTGCCTGCCACACGAGTGTCAGGTCTCGGGGGTGGGGGAGCACTGGCTCCTGTCCCGTCGAGGGCTGACCACCCGCCCCAGCCTGTCTCTCGGGGACCTTCCATCCCTGGACACCAGGAGGGGCTCGTCTCCACTCGCCACTCTCCACGTGGCCATGCACCCTGCTGGGCCTTTCCTGGGACAAAAGTTATTTTTAAGGCTCATTATGAATAAGGGGCCGCAGGTTTTACGTAGCTTCTCTCGGGCCCCCGGGTTTCACGGTGCAGAAAGGATCTAACCAGGACCAGGCGGCCAGAGGTGGAGATGGCAGCCCTGGCTTCCGACAGCGACCACAGAGGACATCAGTGTGAGGCTGGGGACGGCGCCCTGATAAGCGAGGACCGTTAAACGGGCTCCCGGAAAACCGGGGGAATTCAGGGTCGTTTCCGTTGCCCTGAGCCACCGGCACGGAGCCACAGGCTGTCAGACGGGGGGCCAGTCTCCCCTGACCGCCGGGCTGTCCGGGGTCACTGCCCTTAAAAGAAAGTAAACGAAGAAACATGGAACCTTTAGAGGAGCAGAGGTACGCAGCCCAGGGCCTGGTGACGCCGCGCTTTCCCCGCAGAGGAGCCCCCGGCTCGGCTCGGGGCCTGGGACACGTTCGCACTGGCCGAGCCGGCCGCTCGGGGTCTGAGCTCCGCGCCACCACCTACACGGGGCTCACCGAGCTCTTCCAGGGTCGGTGAGGGGGCCTCGGGACACACGGGACCAGCCGCCGCCACCGTGGTGACAGCTCTGCTGCTTCCGGCGTTTGCTACAGTCACTGCTACGGAGCACAGGTGCCTTTAGCAACTCCCCTTCCTCTGACTGCGCTGCCTGAGCCTGCCGTCAGCTGAGTCGACCCACGTGGAGCCTTAGCCGGTGTGGGTCAGTGGATAGAGCGTCGGCCTGCGGACCAAAGGGTCCCGGGTTCAATTCCGGTCAAGGGCATGTACCTCGGTTGCAGGCTCCTCCCCAGGCCGGGCACCCCGCCCCCCCAGGTCAGGGCGTGTGCAGGAGGCAACCAATGGATGTGTCTCTCTCACATCGATGTTTCTCTGTCTCTTCCTCTCTCTTCCACTCTCTCTAAAATCAATGGGAAAATATCCTTGGGTGAGGATTAACAACAACAACAAGAAGACCCATGTTGAGGTTTTTAAACCCTGGGGCCCACTGTTCCTGGGCAGCCATGTGCCCGGTCTGCTGCCAGGTGGGCTGACCTGCCTGAGAAGAATCCCTTTACCCCCTGCCGGCCACAGGCCCAGCCCAGGCCCAGCCTGCCGTCTAGTCTCCGGCTCAGCCAGTGAGGAGCTGCCCAAGCTGTCCTGAGCCGCCTGGGGCTCCGGGGTAGGGCAGGCCAGCTGCGCCCTGCGTCTCCCGTGCGCCCTGCACATCCTGTGCCAGCCTGTGCGGACTCTGCTGAAGCTGTGCTCCAGGCCACCAGCCCTCCCTCCTCCTTCTCCCTGCTCCCTCCTCCCCTGTGCAGAGGGCTCAGCTCCATGGAGGGGGCAGCAGGACCTGTACACTCTCCTTGGAGCCCAGGTCACCTGCCCGCCCTCAGGCTGTGTTACATCTACCCAGACTCAGCAGGGAGAAATTCTCCCCATGTGGGAACCTCTTTCTAGAAAGGGAAGTTCTCTTAGTGGTTCACAGATCAGGTTCAGGCACACCAAGGCTCCCTTAGAAGGGCCCACGGCCAGGGGTTCAACCACTGTGCCAGTCCCTCCCTCAGCAGGACCTGAGGGGGTGGAGGCAGACCTGGGCCAAGGCCAGCCTCCCGGCTGAGCTGACTCTCCCCCGCTGGGCTGGTGTGACTTCTTCCTCAACTGCCCAAACCCAACATAGGATCCCAGTGGGCAGCCCGACCCCAGGGGCAACCCGTGGTCCTGGAATCCCAGCTACAGGCCCCACGACTAGAGAGTGAGGGTGGTCCCAGGGTCAGAGACCAGGGCAGAGGGCCATGGATGGGCGCCTGGGGCAGGAGGACTTCTTCCAGCTCCGGCTGCCTCCACGGCCACCCTCCCAGCCTCAGGGCCATGGAGCCAAGCCACGGGCTTGACCACGCAAGTGCGTTCACGCCTGACGCTGACCCAGGGCGCCAGGACGCTGGTCTGTCGGCAGGGACTCTCTGCTGGGGCTGGATTGAAACACTAAATCCTGGGCATGTGTTTCATTGAACAAGTATTTATTAAGCACCTACTGTGTGCCAGGCACTGTGCGAGGCGCCCTCACTGCATGCTGTCCCCAGGGCACAGCGATCTGCTCAGAAACGAAAACCAAGGAAAGGAGTGTGGTCGCAGCCTCACAACTGGGGCGGGATGAGGGGTCGGGGGTCAGGGGTCCCCGGGCCAGAGAGGCACCTCCCGAAGCCTGTCTCCTTTCTCCGGACAAGCAGCTGCTCTACCGCATCTGGGCAGCTACAGGGAGGGAGCTTTTACCTCCACGGCCACCCTGGGGCACCTGGGGGACATTCAGATACTCCGAATGCCGTTCAAAAGAAAAAAAAGGAGGTGTGATGGATACTCACGTTTGGATTAGAAAACTCATTTCAGCTCATGTGGCTGCAACAACCCTTAAGAAAGATATAAACATCCCTGCCCTGACTGCGTAAACGTAAGGTAGACCTAGTCTAGATTCCTGAGTCAGAATCTTCCAGTGGCCCGCAACCTCGAAAGGCCAGAGAAGCGAGAGGAGACTGCGATCCCGGAGGCCAGGCGGCACGGAGGTCTGGAACCTGCATGGACAGAGCAACCCCCGCAGCGGGACGGACGTCCTGGCCCGGCCGCCTCGCACACACCTGTGGCTCCCGCGGGGCCGGCCGCGCCCTAGTTGTCGGTGCCCAGCTTGGAGAGGCCGCGGCGGAAGTCGTGCAGGTCGTCGATCTTCCCGTCCAGCACCTCCAAGAAGTTCTTCAACTCCACCTTGAGGTGGCGCTGTCGGTATTTGCTCTCCTCAATGTCCATCTTCAGCGAACGCACTTTGTCCTCTAAGTTTTGATTGTCTTTCTCCGCGGCCTGCAGCCAAACCAAAGGAGAAGGGTCTGGAGAACAGCGAGGGGGGGCCGCTGAGACCTGCGACAGCTGCAGCCCGGACCTGTTAGGGCCTCAGCACCCAGACCAGGGCAGCTCAGCGAGCCCTTCGTTCCTGCCTGACCCCGGGCAGAGGTGCCCACAGACAGTGTGTGACCAACTCGGGGCCTGGAGAATGACGGTCCTACACAGAACGCAGAACTCGGACGCCTGCCCGGGGAGCCCAGTGCTAACCGGCCCTTTCACCAGTGCCCAGCAGAGAAAGTCTGAAATCCCAGCAGGAGGCATTTTCAGCCCCAGGCCCAGCCGGTCAGCAGAGGTCCAATCAGCTTCATGCTGATAACCTAACCTAACCAGTTGCTAATGCTGGGGCTCCTGAATTGAGAGCCTGGCTGTACACTCTCCTTGGGGCCCAGGTCACCTGCCCTTCCTCAGGCTGTGTTATCTACCCATTCTGATCCTTTTGTGATCAGAAATCTGAGGCCGGCCTGGCTGGCGTGGCTCAGTGGTTGAGCGCCGACCTATGAACCTGGCGGTCATGGTTTGATTCCTGGTCAGGACACATGCCCGGGTTGCGGGCTCGATCCCCAGTGTGGGGTGTGCAGGAGGCAACAGGTAAATGATTCTCTCTCATCATTGATGTTTCTCTCTCTCTCTTTTTCTCCCTTCCTCTCTGAAATCAATTAATTTTTAAAAAAATAAGTCTGAGGCCAGTGAGGGGTGTCTGCAAGGTCACGGCTGGGGAGTGGAGAGGTGGGACAGCACCCAGGTCTTAAGCTCTTAGCCCTTCCTTCTGCCCCGACTCCTCATTCCTCTGTGGTTCTGCAGAGGCTTCTGTGGCCTGGCAACAGTCACCTGCACTATGGTTGTGGCACAGGACACCTTTGTTAGGTGGAAAAGCCACAAGACAAATGCTGCTGAGCCTTCTCGGGGACGGGGTTGGGGGGGGTGGGGGGGTGAGGTGGGGAGGTGGGAAGGGACCTCAGGGAGGAGTCACATGACCAGTGCCTTCTGATCGGAGCCTCCCGCCCTTACCTCTAACTTCTCAGAGACGTATTCGCACTCTGACATGAGCTGAGGTATGATTTCACTCTGTTTTCGGAGATCTTTCAACTCCTACGGGAGAAAGAAATTTGAAAAAGCATGTGAAATCAGGTCAGATAAAAGGTATTCTTAACCCCCCCGCCCCCACCCCACCTTGGGCATCTAGGAATGGAAGCAGCTTTTGGAACCCGTGCTGTTTGCACAGATAATGAAGGTGATGACGCCAACACTGAACCCTTCAGATATGCTACACGCGCAATCGCACGATCGTACACCACCATGGCGGAAGGTCTTCTCATGCTTCCTGCTTTGTGGGTGGGGAAACTGAGGCTGAGAACGGGTTGGCAGCCTGCCCGTGGCCTCCAGCCTCCGTGTACTTGGCTGTCCTGCCCCCCAGAAAACGAATGGCTCTCACTGCACTAATTTGACAGCGGAGTTCAACTTCTGATGATACAGCGTCTAAAAAAGTTCCCAAGTGCCTGGTACAAAGTTCAACTCCCTCTTGGATCGGGGCGGCCGACCACACAGCACACACAGCGAGGAGGCCGTAGCATCTGCGCCCTGACGTGACTCCTGGCTCTGACTCTGTGCCGACGTCCGGGCAGCTGCCAGGGCCGTCACATGCCCAGTCGCCTGCTGCGCCCTTGGGGGGAGAGCTCGCCCGCAGGCCCAGAGGACAGCGAGGGGCCGTCAGAGCCGTGACTCACCGTCTCCTTCTCTCGGAGTTCGGACTCCAGCTCCTCGATCCTCCGCTTCAGCTGCGTGTTCTTCTCCTTCTCCCTGTTGATCTCACTGCACTGTTCTTCCAGCTCGTCAATCTTGGGGAAACAGCACAGAGGAGGCAGGGACGCTAGCTTACTTTTTTGTCATTAAACAAAAGATCGACACAGCTCTGTCTATGCGTCCTTTCTTTTTTCTTTTCTACTAATTCTCACCAAGGATGTATTTCCATTGATTTTTTTCAGAGAGAGGGAAAGAGAGAGGGAAAGACAGAGAGCAACATCGATTGGTTGCCTTCTGCACGTGTCCCGACCAGGACCCAGGCCGGGGAGGAGCCTGCAACCAAGGTATGTGCCCCTGGCCGGAATTGAACCCAGAACCCTTCGGTCCGCAGGCCAACACTCTATCCACTGGGCTAAACTTATTTCTTTTAAAATAAACCTGAAACTAGCCCACTTGTGTTTCTTGGAGGCTACAATCAAACTCCATGCGGCTCCCGGAGGGGCTGCCGGTCCCTTTCGGCAGGAGGTGCCTCACTCACCACCAGCAGAGCCTCCTGAGCCACCCAGCCCGGCCTCAGGATGCACGGGCTCCGGGCTGCCCTCACGGCCACAGGGCAGGAGCCGCAGGTTCGCTTTCAGGATTTGTCACGAGCAGGGGCCAGATGGCCCATGGATCCACCTGCTTCTCCCCAGAACGATTTACATCTTTTTAAAATTATTTTTATTATCAGCATAGAAATTTATTCAATTTCAAATGATTCTCCATCGTTTTAATCACATCCTGAATTATTCCATTTCATGGGTTTAAGCCAGCGGGGTAGACACCAGTGGCCACCAAGGGGGACGCGATGACATTTCAAACATTTTAAATCAAGACCTTTCCCTAGTGGTGCACACGGGCGCCTGGCCTGCAGGCCTCTTCCTGGAGGGGAACGGGGAGGGGTGGGGGTGGGGGGCAAATCCCCAGGGTGCACCTTTCTCTCCCTCCCCAGCCGGCTCCCTCAGAAGAACAGCCAAGGCCAGAGTGTGTGCGCAGAGCGGACGGCAAGAGTGGAACCCACGTGTAACACAAAAGCTCCACGTTGATGGGGTCCCCACAAGCGGCAGCAGCAGTCCCAGCAGGGAATGCGCTGGGTGCTGGCTGTGAGGACTGCCCAGAGGTGGGCGCACACCCAGCTAAGGGGCTGCTGGAGACGCCGCCCACCGCCCACAGGGGAAGCTAAAGCTCCTCTCAGCGGGCACTTCCTCCGCCCACCCCTGCCCTTGGGCTCTGATACTCAGGCGCAGAGAGAAGCTGGGCTCTTGGCTTGGAAAAAGAAAGAGAGGGCAATCGATCAGCCAGCCTGGGAAGGGAGCCTGTGGAGTCAGCATCTGGCCCGGAGCCCCTCGCTGTCAGCACTGTGGGCCTGAAAGGAAAACGCCACACCAGGCAGCTTCATGTGCCATCTGTGCCACGAAGACGGTGAGACAGAGCACGGCCTCCGGTGGCCCCGCTCAGGTCAGGTGGGCCAGGGAGCGTGAATACCAAGGTCAATGTGCCGTGTCCCCCTGTCGTGCCCACAGCCTGTGGGGTCAACGTGCTGACCATTCAAACACGGCCGGCGTGGCTCAGTGGTTGAGCATTGACCTATGAACCAGGAGGTCAAGGTTCGATTCCCGGTCAGGGCACATGCCCGGGTTTCAGGCTCCATCCCCAGTGGGGGCCGTGCAGGAGGCAGCCGATCCATGATTCTCTCTCATCACTGATGTTTCTATCTCTCTCTCTCTCCCTCTCCCTTCCTCTCTGAAATCAATAAAAATATCTTTATAAAAAAATAAAGTAATCAATCAGTTATTGAAATAGAGGGAGGAGGCAGCAAGTCTTCCTGCTCCCGCTGCCCCTCCCGCTGGCCGTGCCCCCCGGCCCCCCAGAGCTCACCTTGTGCCGCAGCCGGTCATTCTCGTCGCGGCAGATGGAGAACTGCCTCTTCCACTGCTCCACGCTGGTGGCGGACTCCTGCAGCGCCGTGGTCAGCCGGGCGTTGCTCTCCCGCAGGGTCTGCAGCTCGATCTCCCATTTCTTCACGTTGGCGGCGCTGCAAGGCAGGGGCCGGGAGGTGACCGGGAGGGCGGGCGCTGACCGTCCCCCTGCCCCGACCTGTGGGCTGGCTGGGGGAACAGGTGCCAGAGGGACTGGCCTGTCTTGTGTGGACCCGTCACCTGGCTGGGCTGTTTTTTTTTTTTAAAGAATCCCTTTAGAGCCCTGGCCAGTGTGGCTCAGTGGATAGAGCGTCGGCCTGCAGACCAAAGGGTCCCGGGTTCGATTCCGGTCAAGGGCACGGACCTCAGATGCAGGCTCCTCCCCAGCCAGGCCCTGGTCGGGACTCACGCACGAGGCAACCAATCGATGTGTTTCTTTCACATCGATGTTTCTCTCTGTCTTTCCCTCTCTCTTCCACTCTCTCAAAAATCAATGGATGAAAGTAAAAATAATAATAATAATAATAATAATAATTTTTAAAAAATAAAAACAGCCGTAGCCGGTTTGGCTCAGTGGATAGAGCGTCGGCCTGTGGACTGAAGGGTCCCGGGTTCGATTCCGGTCGGGGGCATGTGCCTGGGTTGCGGACACATCCCTGGTGGGGGGTGTGCAGGAGGCAGCTGATCGGTGTTTCTCTCTCTATCGGTGTTTCTGATTCTCTATCCCTCTTCCTTCCTCTCTGTAAAAAAAATCAATGAAATATATTTAAAAAACAAAAACAAAAACAAAAAAAATCAATGGAAAAATATCCTCAGGGGAGGATTTAAAAAAACGAATCACTTTAGAAATGCACAGAATTCTTAGAGAAGGAAGAGACCAAGCTCACCGAGTCAGACCCTGTCCCTCCTCTCCCCAGCTGACCCCTGACACAGAACGAGGACCGCTTTCTCCCTGAAATGAGCCTCGAGGTCAGAAGTTCTGAAGTGCTGGGCCGACCTGACCCCGGGGCCTCTGAGAATCTCATGAAAGCTCCTGGACTCTTTCGACAAGTTCCTGCATTCACCTTGGAGCCAAAAACAATAAAAAAAATTAAAAAACCAACACAAACCCTCCCTAGATTTAACAAGCAAACAGGTGATAATGGCCCCACTGTCACTGGTGCCTCCTCAGAGCCTTGGAAGCAGACCTGGCGGCACAGCAGGCCCAGGAACGCATTAGGCTTGGCCCTGCAGGCGGGACTCGAACGTCAATAAATCCAGGAGCCTTCGCAGCAACATAAACTTACATGAAGTGAATTATAGGAAGCGAATGAGGTTCTAAATATCCCAATGGCCCTTGGCAGAAAAAGGTCCCCCAGCCCTGCCTCGGAAGGAATCCAGACGTGAGAGCCGAGGGCAGAGGGGGCCATGACGGGGGCTCCCCCGAGGGCAGAACGGGGGTTCTAGCCACGGGTCTGAGGGACACCTCTACAGTACCCCATGTACCCGGGTTTATCTTTTTGTGGCTGTTGTTAATCCTCACCCGAGGATATTTCTCCATTGATTTTTAGGGAGAGTGGAAGGCAGAGGGAAAGACAGAGAAAGACACTGATGTGAGAGAGACACATCCATTGGTTGCCTCCTGCAGGAGCCCCAATCAGGGCCCAGGCCGGGGGAGGAGCCTGCAACCAAGGTACCTGCCCTTGACCGGAATGGAACCCGGGACCCTTTGGTCTGCAGGCTGACGCTCTATCCACGGAGCCAAACTGACCAGGGCCCAAGTTTATCTTTGACCCTGTGCTTCCAGTGAAGAAGTTTTAGAAAACAAACTGGAGTCAGGCTCCCCTCAGAGGCTGTTCGGTTTTCTGGCCCCTTTGTTTCCCTGCTCGGGGCCCAGGAATCTGCGTTCTGAACGTCTCGGGTGATGGGCAGAGCTTGCCCCACAAGCTGTCAGAGTCCTGGCTCCTGCTCAGCACGGCCTGGCAGAGGGGAGTTCTGCGTCTAACGGCTCTTTAAACAGTAGATGCAGCTGTATCTGGATAATCTGCATTATCTTTCATCCCACAGCCTCAGGACCGGGGACGGTGAGAGGAAAATACACACTTCCAGTTCAAACAATACGGACTGAAAAAATAGAAAGCATTATTATCTGATTAGTTCCAGGACTGATGATGTAGAACTGAAGCTGATTTGGGGAAATGGCTTCCCCTCATTCCTATAATTCACTTCTCCACTAAATTGGGATTTCAAAACATTGATTTTTAGGGCTAAAATGTGTTCATTCAGGCAGTACGCTGCGACGTAAACAATCAAGAATAGGCCCCGGCCGGCGTGGTTCAGTGGTTGAGCATCGACCTAGGAACCAGGAGGTCCCAGTTCAATTCCCGGTCAGGGAGCATGCCCGGGTTGCAGGCTCGATCCCCAGCAGGGGGCGTGCAGGAGGCAGCAGATGCATGATTCTCTCTCATCGTTGATGTATCTCTCTCTCCCTCTCCCTTCCTCTCTGAAATCAATAAAAAATATATTTAAAAACAAAAAAAATCACACAATCAAGAATAGTCTGATAGGTGTCTGATGAGAAAGAAAAAAGACTGGTCACAGTTCTGTCCTTTGAAACCCTGACAAAGCCCACAATCCAAAACCGGGGGCTGGGTCTAAGGGTCACGGATGCCTGGACTCCCAGGTCAGGTCACAGGCATTAAGCTCCGAGAACAGGCCGGGCCGGCTGAGTGGAGAGGCGGGTGCCAACAGACGTGGCCAGCGTGTGTGATGTGGTCAGCGAGGCAGAGAGCAGCCACGAGGCCAGCCGGCCGGCTTCCCTCGGCCGGGAGGTGAGACTGGCCGCCAGAGAACCAGCGTCTGGTCTGGACTTAAGCCCCTTACCTCTGCGTCAGCGCGATCTTCAGCTTGTTGTTCTCAGACTTGAGGTGGGTGTCCACGGGGCTGGCGTGAGACGCCTTTTCATCGTCCGTCCCGTTGACACTGGATGCCTGAGCAGAAGATGGGGTTTCACACCCAGATTCCTGGCCAAAGTGAATTATCTCACACGTTACTGCGGGTCCTCACAGGGGCAACAAGTCAGGCATACGAGACACTGTTTCTGAGGGTGGGAACCACTCGTCTGACCGACACGCAGCAGCAACGAACATGTCAGAGACCATCGAGAACCAAGGACAAGGCCCAGGGGGGGCCACAGTGAGCTCAGAGTCTGGGCGCTTCGCGGACCAGCGAGCACCTGGGGCCATTTTACTCACACTCTCCAGATAACCCTAACACACCCGGATACCCGGTCTCCTTAAATAGCACCGGCAGAAGCCACAAATTAAAAGAGGAGGAACGAGTTATAACGAGGGAAGAGAAAAACCGTTACAGGCTGAGACAGCTTCAGCATCCTGGCGCTGCAAAGGGGAAGATCTACACGCATTAAAAGAACAGGGACCGGCTCTGGGTGCCTGTGGTCTCCATGACTATTTAGCGTGTTATGAATATTCTGAGATGCTTTCTGTGATAAGTCATCCCACATGGTGGTGAAATCTCATCTGGTCTTGGATAAGCTCTCAGCAAGATCTTATTTAGCTTCCAATATGCATAATGGCAAAAGGAAGGAACCGTGAAGGGAAGGATGTATAAATCTGACTAACTCTGCATTCCTACCTTGCAAAAAAAACGCCATAAACAAAACTGAAATGCAAATAAAAACTTGGGGAGCCTGGCTAGCGTGGCTCAGTGGTTGAGCGTCGACCGATGGACCTGGACCAGGAGGTCGAGGTTCGATTCCCAGTCTTCACATGCCCGGATTGAGGGCTCGACACCCAGTGCGGGGCGTGATTCTTATCATTGATGTTTCTATCTCTCTCTCCTCACCTCTCTGAAATCAATAAAACTATATTTAAAACAAAGCCTTGGGGAAATATCTTCTGCTAAACATTTGCAGATACTAAAAGCTAAATATTAATACCATCAAGCCTTGGGTGTCAGTCTTGACTGCTCCAGGCGCCCAGGCCTCCTGGTTCCCCTCCGACCAGCTGTCTCCGCCATCCATCCTTCCCCTTCGCCCTGTGGCTGCCCTGCCAGGCCATCCTCACCCACAGCCTCCTCACAACCCTCTGTGGCACCCCGACTTCCTTACCACCCGCAGGCAACCCTCATGGCAATTCCAGATCAACAGTCATAAAACACCTCCGATGTCTGCCAACTACTCAATAATGAATAATCTATAAGAATAAAAGCGTAATATGCTAAATAGACTGAACAGCTGAAGGACCTTCCAGACATCATTCCGGATGTCCTTCTGGATGAAGCTGCAGCGGGGGGTGGGGGGTGGGGGGGTGGGGAGGCAGAGGCAGAGGTGGTTAGGGGCGATCAGGCAGGCAGGTGAGCAGCTGGGGGCAATGAGGCAGGCAGGCAGAGTAGTTAGGGGCGATGAGGCAGGCAGGCAGAGTGGTTAGGGGCAATGAGGCAGGCAGGCAGAGTGGTTAGGGGCAATGAGGCAGGCAGGCAGAGGCAGTTAGGGCCGATCAGGCAGGCAGGCAGAGGCAGTTAGGGCCGATCAGGCAGGCAGGCGAGTGGTTAGGGGCGATCAGGCAGGCAGGTGAGCAGCTGGGGGCAATGAGGCAGGCAGGCAGAATGGTTAGGGGTGATGAGGCAGGCAGGCAGAGTAGTTAGGGGCGATGAGGCAGGCAGGCAGAGTGGTTAGGGGCAATGAGGCAGGCAGGCAGAATGGTTAGGGGCAATGAGACAGGCAGGCAGAATGGTTAGGGGCAATGAGGCAGGCAGGCAGAGTGGTTAGGGGCGATGAGGCAGGCAGGCAGAGTGGTTAGGGGCGATCAGACAGGCAGGCAGAGGCAGTTAGGGCCGATCAGGCAGGCAGGCAGAGGCAGTTAGGGCCGATCAGGCAGGCAGGCGAGTGGTTAGGGGCGATCAGACAGGCAGGCAGAGGCAGTTAGGGCCGATCAGGCAGGCAGGCGAGTGGTTAGGGGCAATGAGGCAGGCAGGCAGAATGGTTAGGGGCAATGAGGCAGGCAGGCAGAATGGTTAGGGGCAATGAGGCAGGCAGGCAGAATGGTTAGGGGCAATGAGGCAGGCAGGTGAGTGGTTAGGGGCAATGAGGCAGGCAGGCAGAATGGTTAGGGGCAATGAGGCAGGCAGGCAGAGTGATTAGGGGCAATGAGGCAGGCAGGCAGAGTGGTTAGGGGCAATGAGGCAGGCAGGCAGAGTGGTTAGGGGCGATGAGGCAGGCAGGCAGAGTGGTTAGGGGCGATCAGACAGGCAGGCAGAGGCAGTTAGGGCCGATCAGGCAGGCAGGCAGAGGCAGTTAGGGCCGATCAGGCAGGCAGGCGAGTGGTTAGGGGCAATGAGGCAGCCAGGCAGAATGGTTAGGGGCAATGAGGCAGGCAGGCAGAATGGTTAGGGGCAATGAGGCAGGCAGGCAGAATGGTTAGGGGCAATGAGGCAGGCAGGCCAGCGGTTAGGGGTGATCAGGCAGGCAGGCAGGCAGGCAAGCGGTTAGGAGCCAGCGGTCCTGGATTTCGAGAGGGTGCAGGCTGGGCTGAGAGACCCTTCCCCCCGCCCCACCGTGCACTAATTTTGTGCACCGGGCCTCTAGTTAAATTAATAATAAACTATCTGCTTGTGAAGAATTCCAGGTCTTTCCCAGTATCTGCAAGTGCATGGCTGTCCCTCCCACAGTGCACCTCACTCCCAGCCCCACTGTACCCTGGCCACCTTGCTGTTACACCTGCTTAATCCCAAACCCAAATCCCTGCTCCTGACGTTGGCTTTCCCTGTCTCCACACAGACAACCCTGTCCCTAGATCAAGCCTCCTGCCCACCACGACATACACCAATCTAGACATCAGGAAGGCAGGCGTTTTTATTTCAGGTCACAACAGGTCCCTCTCTTTTGTTGTTGTTAGTCCTCACCCGAGGATATGTTTCCGTTGATTTCCAGAGAGAGTGTACAGGAGAGGTAGAGACAGGGACAGAGAAACAGCAATGTGAGAGAGACACATGGACTGGTTGCCTCCTACAAGCGCCCCAACCAGGGCCGGAGATCTTACCTGCAACCAGTGTATATGCCCTTGACCGGAACCAAACCCAGGACCCTTCAGTCCGCAGGCCGACACTCTACCCACTGAGCCAAACTGGCTAGGGTCGTGGTCGGCAAACTGCGGCTCACGAGCCACATGCGGCTCTTTGGTCCCTTGAGTGTGGCTCTTCCTAAGCCTTAGGACAGTGATGGCGAACCTATGACACGCGTGTCAGGGGTGACACGCAAACTCATTTTTTTGGTTGATTTCTCTTTGTTAAATGGCATTTAAATATATAAAATAAGTATCAAAAATATAAGTCTTTGTTTTACTACGGTTGCAAATATCAAAAAGTTTCTATATGTGACATGGCACCAGAGTTAAGTTAGGGTTTTTCAAAATGCTGGCACGCCAAGCTCAAAAGGTTCGCCATCACTGCCTTAGGAGTACCCTAATGAAGTAAATAACAATGTACCTACCTGTATAGTTTAAGTTTAAAAAATTTGGCTCTCAAAAGAGATTTCAATCGTTGTACTGTTGATATTTGGCTCTGTTGACTGATGGGTTTGCCGACCACTGGCCTAGGGCAAACAGGTTCTCCTTAGTCAACCGTCACACTGTTAAGTAAAGGGACTACTCGACAGAGCCACATCTCCTTGGCTAAACCAGCTGCTGGAATGCCATCTCCCATCTGACTTTTATTACAAAGGGAGACAGAGCCGAGGGCTCGCGGGCATCACTCAAGCTTTCTCTCCCACAGGCACAGGCACCTGCCCTTGTCACTGAGCATCCTTCATGCAGCCCCACCTCCCACCGGAAGGGAAGCAGCTGCCCTGTCACTGGTCCTGAAACACAGCGACCAGAGAACACCTCCCGGGGGCCAGGGACATGCGTTACCCTCATCTCAACAAATACAAGTTTCCTATCAAAATACATCATCCCAGGCCAGGCCGGCGTGGCCCAGTGGTTGAGCGTCGATGTATGAACAGGAGGTCACAGTTCGATTCCCGATCAGGGCACATGCCGGGGTTGCGGGCTTGATCCCCAGTAGGGGGGCGTGTGCAGGAGGCAGCTGATCCATGATTCTCTCTTATCATTGATATTTCTATCTCTCTCTTCCTCTCTGAAATCGATAAAAATATATATTTAAAAAAAATGCATCGCCACATCCTGAAAATGTCAGGAGTCTCACAAATGCATGTCCTGTCCACCTCAGTGTGAACAGGTCAAAAAAAACCTTCAAGATGCCCTGGGCTATACGTGCATAACCCATGGGCACAGACGATAGTGTGGTAAAGGCCTGGGGTGGGGAGGGCACTAGAAGGGGTCAGTGAGGAAGTAAAAGGGACATATGTAAAACTTTCAACAATAAAGATTTTTAAAAAGTAAGGAACTCCATAGGGGGCAAATGCCCTGCTGCTGAATTTCCTGTTTCTGGTCAAAGTGACAAGGAACAGGGTCTCGGCCAGGAATCGCCCCGGCTTTATCTTATGGACAAATCACTCACTTGGGAATGGTTACTTGACGTCTCGATTTTCTCCTGCGACTTGTCTCGGGCGAGTCTGGCGGCTTCTTTCACCTCCTGGAACTTCTCTGCGAACTGAACATGAAGAACAGTTACGAAGGGTGTCGTGGCTGACAATCCGCACGCAGCTGTGTTAGCTTGCGTCCGTGTTAGGCCAATCGTTTCGGTACCCATCCTGAAGACGGATTTTACTTGAGATAGAAAAGAAATGGATATAAGAAACGCTTCTTCCGATAAACACCATTGGCCAAAGTCTGACCGGGTCAGTTCTGCAGCTACTGAAGCTAGTGTGATGAGGAAGGACGGAAACAAACACCCCTGGTTAACGGTAACTCATACAAAGGCAAGAAAAGAAGCTTAGTTGTCCCACAGAAGGAATCGGAAGAAAACAATAGCATGTCTAAGGAAAGATCCAAGAACTCTTACAAATCAATGCAATAAAATAAAAATAAAAAACATCCAAAAAGTTAGGGAGGAGACACTGTTCTAGATTTTAAACGCGTAAGATATGAAATACCAAAATGCCAAATAGCAAAATGCACACATACTCTCTCTGACTGAACCCTGTTTTGAATGGACTACCTATAAGCAACAGGGGGAATGTGACCGTGGACTGGACGAGACGACAAAGAAGAATCACTATTAATTTTATTACAAGTGTTGCCCTGCCCGGCTAGTGTGGCTCAGTGGTCGAGCATCGACCCGGGAACCAAGAGGTCACTGGTTTGATTCTCGGTCAGGGAACATTGGTCCCCAGTAGGGGGCGTGCAGGAGGCAGTGGATTGATGATGTTTCTCTCTCATCGATGTTTCTCTCTCTCTATCCCTCTTCCTTTCTCTCTAAAAATCAATACAAATATTACCAAAAAAAAAAAGTGTTTCTCTGGCCGGTTTTCTCAGTGGTTAGAGCAGGGGTGGGCAAACTTTTTGACTCGAGGGCCACAATGGGTTCTTAAACTGCACCGGAGGGCCGGACCAAAAGCATGGATGGAGTGTTTGTGTGAACTAATATAAATTCAAAGTAAACATCATTACATAAAAGGGTATGGTCTTTTTTTTTTTTTAGTTTTATTCATTTCAAACGGGCCGGATCCGGCCCGTGGGCCGTAGTTTGCCCACGGCTGGGTTAGAACATCAGCCCACAGACTAAGGGGTCCACAGGTTTGATTCCTGGTCAAGGACACATACCTGGGTTGCAGGTTCCCCAACCCTGGTAGGGGTGTGTGTGGGAGGCAACCAATGGATGTGTCTCTCTCACATCAATGTTTCTCTCACTCTCTGTCTCTTCCCTCCCTCCTGTTCTCTCTAGAAATCAGTGGAAGAAATATCCTGGGGTGAAGATTTTTTTTTTTAAAAAAAGTGCTAATGGTGTTATGTTGCCGAAACCGGTTTGGCTCAGTGGATAGAGCGTCTGCCTGCGGACTGAGAGGTCCCGGGTTCGATTCCGGTCAAGGGCATGTACCTGGGTTGCGGGCACATCCCCAGTGGGGGATGTGCAAGAGGCAGCTGATCGATGTTTCTCTCTCATTGATGTTTCTAACTCTCTCTATCTCTCTCCCTTCCTCTCTGTGAAAAATCAATAAAATATATTTAAAAAAAATAAATAAATAAAAAATAAAAAAAGTGCTAATGGTGTTATGTTGAAAAAATGTCATTTTTTTAAAGAAATAAATTCTGCAATTTTTAGGCATACAACGCTTTCTTTGATGTCTGTAATTTAACGTACTTCAGCTACAATAAAACATAAAGAAATGTGGCAAACGTTAACAACAAGGTGATGTGTACGCGGGTGTTTATTATACCGTACCTCTCTCAACGTTTAAAAAAAGGTTTTAATATTTTCATGATAAAAAAAAAATCCTTAAAAACCCCAGAACAATCACACCAATCATGACCCACCGTCACTGACAAGGCAACTGATGTTAATTAGCAAGGACATTGTGCGAGCAGAGAACATTCGGTGACAGGCGGTGCCGGCGTGACAAAGCACGAGAGCTGAATGCGGTTGCTGAGAAACAAAAAAGCAAGCCAGTCACAAGGCCACCGACAACGCCGTGGCTTCTGCTAAGAACTCAGGAACCTCTGAGCACAGTCTACCCTCTGAGCACGTTCACACGGCCGACACGACAACGGTGGTCTGCTCGGGGAGCCCTTGCCAGATGGCGGATGCTGGTGAACCGGGCACCCTGGTCGAAGCAGAAAGGTCAGCTTTCTGCTGTTCTGGCCCTTGTGGCCCCTGCAGGCCCATCAGTAAAGCCACAGCCTCCCGGCTGGTGTGGCTCAGTGGTTGAGCATCAACCCATGAACCAGGAGGTCGAGGTCCGATGCCTGGGTTGTGGGTTCGATCCCCAGTAGGGGCTGTGCAGGAGGCAGCTGATCAATGATTTTTCTCTCATCATGGATGTTTCGAGCCCTCTCTCCCTCTCTCTGAAATCAGTGAAAACATATTTTAAAAATATTAAATTAAAAACAAACAAACACAAAGCCACAGCCATGGGGCTTCATATCCCCAAAGTGACATCTTTTGATGACATAATAATGTCAAGTTTTTCAATATAAAAGGAAAAAGAGTAAATCAGAAGGAAAACCGGTGCCTGGGGGAAATATCATAGCTAGGCTATAGGGGCCATTGTCTTCAGTAAAGAAAGAGCTTGTGCAAATTAGAAAATAATATGTTTTTATTCATTTCAGAGAGGAAGGGAAAAGGACATAGAGAAACATCGATGAGAGAGACACACCCATCGGCTGCCTCCTGCACGCCCCCCACTGGGGATCGAGCCCGCAACCCAGGCATGTGCCCTGAATGGAATCGAACTGGGGTCCTCTTGGCCCATGGGTCCGTGCTCAACCACTGAGCCACACCAATCGGGCTGTGCACATTTTTTTTAATAAGAGAAAGTTTATTTAGGAAGTCACAGAGGTAGCGGAAGTGAGCCAGCCTGGCTGTGTAGGCTCAGGAAGCAAGTCACAGAAGCAGAAGGAGGGCCCTTGAAGGGGAGGGGAGAGAAAGGTAATGCTCCTGGGGGGAAGGCGAGGGGGATGGAAAGGCGAGGGGTGCCCCCAAGGGGGAGAGCACCGAGTTTGTGCAAATTGAAAAGGCAATTATACAAACCCCAACAGAGAAACGTCAAGACTCACAAATAAAAAACCACAATAAGTCAGCAACCTACAGAAAAAGGGCCCCGCCTCACTGAAGATGCCAATCGGAATAACGAGGTACCATCCTCTGCCTGCTCAGGCACCACAAACTCACACACCATCACAACGGCCAGGAGCTGGCAGGACACTCCCGGGAGCGCGGGGTATTGGTGCAGCCCCTCGAGAAGCAATTTGGAGAAATGTATCACAAGCGAAAAAAAATATTCATGCCCACTGGCTCGGTGATAACACTTCTGGGAAACTGTTCTATGAAAACAATTGAGAAATATGAAAAAAAAAAGGCCTTCAATAGATTAAGAGCCCAGATTCATTTGTAATAATGAGCACTGGAAGCAATCCAGACGCCCTGGGAGCACGCTCCCCCCCAGCTCCCACTGCGAGAGGAGAAGCACTTGTTAACCAGAGAGGAGCCAGATGGCTCTCCTTTGCTGAAACATCCCTCCTTCCAAGCCTTCAGGTTTATAATACGCCCCCCGCCCCCCTTTATAAAAAAGCACACGTGCTTATACATTTAGAACGCAATGTTAAAAAAATTTTTTTTAGACCTATACTCCCACCACCCAGAGATAAACACTAGCCACGTATCTTTCTGCTATTTTTCTATCTGTATGTATACATCTGTTACACATATTCTCATATGTATATTTTTTATTAATATCAGAGAGGAAGGGAGAGGGAGAGAAGGATAGAAACATCAGTGATGAGAGAGAATCATGGATCGGCTGCCTCCTGCACGCCCCCCACTGGGGATCGAGTCTGCAACCCGGGCATGTGCCCTGACTGGGAATTGGAACCGTAACCTCCTGGTTCATACATAGGTCGACCTTCAGCCACTGAGCCACACCAGCCTGGCCCACATATTTCTTTTCTAAAATGAAGTTATATTGTATCTCACTTTATACTATTTTTGAAATTACTAAGATGACATTAATATCTCTATGTAATTACAGGATCTTCTATTAGATCGCCTGAACTGCTGTACAATATTACCCCAAAGGACCTACTGGCGTTTGTCTAACTAATTTCCTACTGCTGGGCATTTAGGTTGGTTTGGTTTTGGTTTGTTTGTTTTTACTGTTATAAATGATGCTGCAAGGAAAATCCTTATAGCTAAACCTCTGTCCTCAGTTACAATTATTTCCGGAAAATAGATTCCTGTAAATAAAACCCATTAATCAAAGGCTAGTCAAACCACAATGGTGTCTGAAAGGTATGCCCAATTCTCGTCTTTTACTCATTAGGACCATTCTCTGCAGTGGTAATGTAATAACTTTCATCAGAATGAAAGTATCATCATCACCATCACAGAAAACTAAAGACCTTTATTTCATTTTATTTCTGGTTTTTCTGGCCTTGGCAACTGAAGACACGGTGGCAGACACTGCCTAGCTGCTCAGTCAAAGGCCATTTCTCTTTTCTTCCTTTAGCTTCACAGAATCTCAAATTTGTCCGGAGCAGGAAATTTCCTGGTAAATAAAGAATGAGAACTGGCCCTAGCCGGCTTGTCCCAGTGGATAGAGTGTTGGCCTGCGGACTGAAGGGTCCCAGGTTCGATTCTGGTCAAGGGCACATGCCTGGGTGGTGGTCTCGATCCCCAGTCGGGGGTGTGCAGGAGGCAGCCAATCCATGATTCTCTCTCATCATTGATGTTTATATCTCTCTCTCTCCCTCTTCCTTCCTTCCTTAAATCAATAAAAATATATTTAAAAAAGAAAGAAAAGAATGAGAACTGGTCTAAGCCAATCATGGCACCCAATTCTGTACACCCCCCCTCCCTCCGCCCCTTTTTCTGGGGGAGTGGAAGGATGGCCTAGGGACCCAAGACTGACGATGAGACCCAAGGAGTCTGCCCAGGGCGTTTACAGGGAGGCTGTGTGGACCGCCTCCGCCCCCCTGCCATGACGCAGACGTGATGGACAGAGCTGCAGAGGTCATCTTATCACCAGGAGGGAAAGGCCAATGACCGACAAAACACACACACACACAGAGACCTCAGACCCAACGTGGCGGAGCGGGTGCCAGTGTTGGCAGCCGCGGGCCTCCGATTCCTCTTCCGAATGAGAACAGTTCTGTCTGCTTAAGCACCACCATTAGGTTCTGATCCGTGCAGCCAAAGCACTCTAACTGAAACATAGAAGGAAGGATTACTATCCCCCAGGAAAAGAAATGGCCCTTAACTCAGGAGACAGGATGGCATGAGACAGGGCAACGTTCCCACGATGACACTGAGTTAACCATGTGACCGTGAGGACCCCACTTTGAATGACAGATAAAAGAAATGAAATGGGTCAAAACTCAATGCCAGTGTGTGCCAGGGCCTTGACGGGTCGACCACGGGGCCCCAGCACCGCCCCCCCACACCCCCTTCTGCACCCCCGTCACAGCTGTGTGTTCCCTTCTCTCTGCCAGGAATGAGATGGAACGGAACCTAGAAGGTGACATCTCAAGGTCAGATGCCAGAAAGAACCTAAACTTTTTTTTTTTAATCCTCACCTGAGGATGTGTTTCCATTGGTTGTTAGAGAGAGTGGAAGAGAGAGGGAAAGACAGAGAGAAACATCCATGTGAGAAACACATCGATTGGTTGCCTCCTGCACGAGCCTGGAGCAGGGCCCCGGCCGGGGAGGAGCCTACAACCCAGGTACGTGCCCTTGACCAGAGTCGAATCTAGGACCCTTCGGCCTGCAGGCCAGGGCTCTACCCACTGAGCAACACTGTCTAGGGCTAGAACCTAAACTTGCTCGTTCTTACACTTGGCTCTCCTCCCATAAGCACTGGCCTTTGTCAGAACTGGCACGTGCCCCTCCAGCGTCCCTCAGCCGGCTGAGCCAGCACGTCCCTTCCGGAGGGTGGGCAGGCGAGGCCCAGGCTGCCTGTGGGAATCCGTGGCCTCTATTATTTTTGGAAAGCCTCTCTAAAGAGCAGAGAGTGTTCCCATGATGCGCGGTGGTTACGGGGCACAGCGGTCCTTATATGGAAGCCGTAAAGATCAAGGTACCTATTTTCTTCCTGGGGGGTGGAGAGAGGCAGGGTTCTTCAGGGAGAACCTCCACGTGGTGTCCCTTCATCCAGCCTCCTTATGGTGTTTGATTCCCAAGCCCCCTTCCCGGGCTGTGGGTGGCGGCTCTGTGGGGTCAGGCATATCTGGCCACGGCTGCCCCCTCAGCAACACGCCTTGGGAGCCCTTGAGCCCAAGCTCCCCTTGGCCAGCTAATGGCCACTTGCGGGCCTGCCAGCCTCACTTCCTGGTGATTGACCAGCGAGTGGTTAATCGTTCCCTTCACAGAGAAGGGGGGCGCTGATCGGAAACATTCTGAACAAAGGAGACCTCTGGTAAGTCTGTGCGGCAAAGGCAGGCACAGTCACAGAGCCGGGACTCCAGGGATGACTCAGGAAGAGGACTCCTCCGTGAGGACAGGGCGTTGTCGCCTGTCGGGGAGACGTCACAAGTGGCCACGGGTGGAAGCAGCACAGCCAGGGTCTCTCCAGTGCGCAGAGGCACAAACACTGAGCTTTAACAACCTGTTCTGTTTCCGTTTTGAGTTCTTCCTTCTTTTTTTTTCTTTTTAATATATTTTTTATTGATTTTTTTACAGAGAGGAAGGGAGAGGGATAGAGAGCTAGAAACATCCATGAGAGAGAAACATCGATCAGCTGCCTCCTGCACACCCCCCACTGGGGATGTGCCCGCAACCCAGGTACATGCCCTTGATCGGAACCGAACCTGGGACCCTTCAGTCCGCAGGCCGACGCTCTATCCACTGAGCCAAACTGGTTTCGGCAGGTCTTCCTTCTTTTGAGTCTTTTCATTGAAACTTTCCCCCTTTATCCTTCCTACTCTGGTTCCTCCAAAGTTTGAAGAAATGGTTCCAAGCAGCTGGGGGTTGGGGGGGCGGGGGTTCTCAGACCATCCTGGGTGTCTGTGAGCTCAGGCCCTGGGTGGGACCGGGGTGTGTGTGACCTGAGGCAGCCCAGCCAGTGCCCTGTCTCTGACGGGAGCCTCCACGTCTTGCTCTTCCCCAGGGACCTGAGGCTTCCGCCCAATGAGTTGGGGTGTGAGGCAGGTGTGGGAGGGGACCAGCTGGCAGGGGAGGGGTTGTTCCGCCCCCTCCCCCCCACAGACACTAATTCGGGGTGGAAAGGCGGGAAATCCTCACAGCCCACTGTTCTGGTGTCATTCTTGCAAGAAACCAGCATCATTTACACCAGGGGATACTGTGCAGCAATAAGACAGAAGGATCTCTTGCCCTTCGAGACGGCATGGAGGGACCCGGAGAGCATCACGCTAAGTGAAATAAGTCAGTCAGAGAAAGACAAGTATCACGTGATCCCACTCATGTGTGGAATCTAATAACAAAATAAACGGATGAACAGGGTGGATCCAGAGACAGGCAACATGGAACAGAGGGCGGAATGTTGGAGGGAAGGCGGGGGAGGGTGGGTGGGTGGGAGGTGATCAACCAAAGACCTTGTGTGCATAGATGCATGGCCCATGGGCACAGACAATACGGGGCTGAGAGCCTGGAGGGGGGGACTGGGGGTAGGCTGGAGGGGGTTAATGGGGAAAAGGTCCTCTGACATTCTTTCAAGAGGTTCCCGGGTCACATACACCAGCCAGTCTCGCTTGCAACCACCGTATCCTTAGTAACTGCAGGGGGCTCTCCCACCACCCTGAAAGGGAGCCTGTTTTCCCAAAACCAGCTTTCGGCTCCTCTCATCGCCTGGGTGAGGCCCTTTGGTCCCCGAGACCGTGACCAGCGCCGTGTGCGCCTCAAAACCACCCTGAGCATCGGGAGTGTGACCTAGACCCTCGGAGAGGCAGGCCAAGACTATGAACCCTCTTCCTGGAAGAAAACACTGTGACAGCTTAAACAGTGGGGACTAGAGGTTAAGGACTGCTATGAGTCCTGGCCGGTGTGGCTCAGTGGATAGAGCGTCGGCCAGCGGACCAAAGGGTCCCGGGTTCGAGTCCAGTCAAGGGCACGTTCCTTGGTTGCAGGTTCCTCCCCAGCCCGGGCCCTGGTCGGGTCTCGTGCAGGAGGCAACCCATCGATGTGTTTCTCTCACATCGATGTTTCTCTCTGTCTCGCCCTCTCTCTTCCACTCTTTCTAAATATCAATGGGAAAATATCCTCGGGTGGGGATTAACAAAAAAACAAACAAACAAAAAGAAGTGCTATTAGCTGTCACCTCACCCCCTCTCTCTGACTAGAGCTCCAACCAGAGGGTCGGCGGCCGCTGCTGACACAGCCCAGGGAGCAGGGCGGACACGTGCTGAGCTCAGGCTCTGAAGCCGCGTGTCGGACGTGCTTTCCTTTCCCAAGTGACATCTCCATTTCAAGGAACCTGGCATGTCTGAAAGGTCACCTGGTCTGGCAGCCCTGCGGGGCCAGAAGGGGCAGAGCTGCAGGCAGAGGCGTCCTGCACACCGCCAGCTGGCCCTGCCGCCGCACGGCCGGGGGAGGGGGGTACGCGGAGGGGGGGTACACGGGGGGGGGGGGGCAGGGCCACGTTACCTTCGTCAGCTGCTGCTCCGACGAAAACCCCAAACCAAACACCGTGTTGGCTCTGCTGTCGGCCCACTGCCCGAACTTCTGCGACGTTTTGGTGAAAGTCATGTTGGGCGTGATTGTGCTGTTTATAATCACCTGCAGGAAGACAGCCAGAGAGCGGAGACGTGAACACCGCCGTCAGACACCACAGTGACTCTCTGTCTCTGCAGGTAAAGCCAGGACCTGGCGCAGAATGCGGGCCCCCCACCCTCCCCGACCCGGACATCCGTCCCGGCTTCTCGCGCTTCTGGCACCTCCCACGCTGAGTCAGGTACACAGCCACGAAGAGGGGCAACGCCAGAGACTTAAGAACAGACTCTTGGCCTAAAGTAAGAACGTACAAGTTACCAGTGGGGGAAAGTCTCTCCTAAGTCTAGTTTCCAAAATTGCTCTTTATTTGCCCAAAGCTGCCAGGCACCCAATTGCCCCTGACGGCCAGCCAGGTCACACGTTCGCTGAAGAACGTCATGTCGTGCCTTTTTAAGCACCTGGCGCCCCAGTGTCCAGCTCTAACAACTTAGTGTCCATAAGCAATCGGGCCTCGCTGCTTTGCAACAGGGGGGGAAGGATGCACCCCAAGTGGGATGAAATTTGGAGGGTTGATTTACAAAGAGACTACGTATGCAGGCGTGAGCTGGGCGTGGGGAGAGTGAGGGACAGTGGAGGGACCTGGTGTTGACCATCGCCCCACCGTGGCCTAAAAGGACAAGGGAAAGAAGAGGCTATAGAATGTGGCCTGGCCGGTGTGGCCCAGTGGTTGGACGTTGACCTATGAACCAGGAGGTCATGGTTTGATTCCTGGTCAGGGCACACGTCCGGATTGCGGGCTTGATCCCCAGTGGGGGGCCTGCAGGAAGCAGCCAATCCGTGATTCTCTCTCATCATTGATGTTTCTCTCTCTCTCTCTCCCTCTCCCTTCCTCTCTGAAATCAATAAAAATATCTTTAAAAAAAAATCATATCCAGTCCTAGCTGGTTTGGCTCAGTGGATACAGCATCAGCCTGCAGACTAAAGGGTCCCGGGTTCGAGTCCGGTCAAGGGCACATGCTCGGGCTGTGGGCTCGATCCCCAGTAGGGGGCGTGCAGGAAGCAGCCAATCCATGATTCTCTCATCATTGATGTTTCTATCTCTCTCCCTCTCCTTTCCTCTCTGAAATCAATCAATCAATATATATATGATTTATATATAAATAAATAAATATAAATCAATATATATATATTTAAAAAAAGAGGTTATAGGACGTGGAGGGAGAGAGTTCTGGAGAGCAGGCTGCCATGAAAAGAGAGGTGACCTTCAGTGGAAGACACACCAGCAAAGCAAACAGCCTCGCCCCCTTGCCTCTGATCTCCTGCCATCGGCCAAACCCAAGCAGAAGCCAGGGGCCCCGCAGGCCAGCCTCTCGGGGCCGGAACAGGGCAGAGGATGAGTCAGGAGGGGTGGGAGGAGGACTCCCAGCACACGGTGATCACTCGTTCATTCGGCACAGCTTCCTCTCTCCGCCGCACGCCAGGCATGCTGCCAGCACAGACACGAAGATGAATGAGTCCCAATTGCTGCTCTTCACCTTGCAGGAGGCCAGGAAGAGGGTAGAGACAGGTAAACAAATAGTCGCCAAAGAACCGATGTGTCATCAAGTGTCAAGAATAGGCTCCCTCTGACAGAAATCCTTGGAAGCCCTAAGACTCTAAGAAACACTCCAGAAAAACGCCCTTGGAAATCAGGGATTCTTGGACGTCTGCTAAGCAGCATCATCGCTGTGTATAAAACGAGAACTGAGCCTCCCTCAGTCCCCAGGTGCCCCCTCCTCACCCCCATCCCCAGGATGTCCCTCCCACCCACACACCTGCACGGGCAGGCACCACCGAGGCTTGCTCCCCTTGCATGCTGCGGTGGGAATGCCTCTGCCCGCTCATCCCCTACGGACAGGCCTGCTCCCAGGGGCAGGGGGATGGCTTTGGTCCTGGGTCAGCACGGCGACCTCTCCTTCTGTCACCAGCACCAAGGAGCCCAGGCATTTCCCAAACACAACCTATAGGATCCCAGGCGCTGGAGGTCAGCCAAGGAGGCGAAGGAAGCCTTCTCCTCTCACCGGCTGCTCTTGCAATCAATCCCCCAGGCGGGTCCTGCAGGCCTGGCAAAGCCCTGGCTCTCGGACAGCTCACCAAAGGCCCTGGGGCTTTTGGAACTTCCTAGGTCCTTGGGGGAGGCGGGAGGGGGAGGAAGGGGGAGGAGAGCCATCATTTTCTTCTACAGGATCCTTTACACTCCACAACCTCAACGCCCTCACAGAAAGCCTGTCGCTACAATCAGTGAGCCGACCGCTGGCCGCTCTCCCGGGAAACCCAGGGCGCTGACCTTCTCAAAGCAGCCGGCTGACAGCGGGAGCGACCACGCTGCCAAAACGGTCAACCGGACCCTTCTCCCTTCGCTTCCCACGGACACCCTGGGCTGCACGCGTGGCTCAGGCACCGAGACAAGTGCTCCTGCGAAGCTGGACGGGCAGCTCCTCCAGATCCGCTCCTGGGCACGAACCTGCCCTGTCCTCCGGTCCCTGCCTGGCACCGGAAGCACCCTCAGTGCTTCAGTGTTGCTCTGAGGCTCTCTGCCTGTTTCTGACTTTCGCCCTCCTCAGCGTGAATGAGGAGGTGAAAGAAAGCGGGCACCTATGAAAGGCCTTTTGTCTGCTCTGGGTCTGTGGCGTGAGTGCCTGTTCAGGTGTGTCGGGGAGAGGGTGGGGGTGAGGGGATGGGGCCTGGGGCCCGAGGGAGGCTTGGTTCGGGGGCAGGCGCATGGGCCCCCCTCCTGCGAGCCCAGAGAGGACGAGGATGTAAGTCATAAGCTCAAGTTCACTAGGAATGTGGAAACGGAATCACCATTGTTTGCTGCTGTGGTTAATCCTCGCAGAGGATATTTTTCCATTGATTTTTAGAGAGAGAAGGGAGAGGGAGAGACAGAGGCACACATCGACGTGCGAGAGACATCGATGGGTTGCCTCCTGCACGCGCCCCGACCAGGGCCCGGGGAATCTGCAACCAAGGTTTGTGCCCTTCACCAGAATCGAACCCGGGGCCTTTCGGTCCTTGGGCCGATGCTCTATCCACTGAGCCAAACCGGCCAGGGTGAAACTATATTGCCATTACATTCAGAATATGTCTGATGATACGAAGTAAGGGTCGGGCGAGGATGTGGGGCAACGGGAGCTCCTAGAACGGCAAAGCCACTGCGGAAACCAATGTGGCTTCCTGGGATCACGTGAAAAGGCCACATTCCCCTCCACCCACAATCCCAGACCTCGGCGTACACCTGAGAGAAAGCTTCGCGTGGGGAAAGCAGGGCAAAGGGACACGGGCGATCACAGGAGCCGTGTCTGCAAAAAGCATGCCCACCGCCAGCAGAAGGCACCAGCTGGGATGCGTCCATGCAGTGCAGTACTGCCCAGCGGTGGACATGAACCAAGGCTGCAGGCACCAACCTGGCTGAATCACACGAACATTTAACATGACGTAAAAAAAATAAACAGGAAGTCACAAAAGCAGACATACAGTATAGGTCTCCAGGACAATCCTATGTACACAAAAGCCTAAAACACCCAGAACGAAGTAATATAATACCGAGCACAGGGATCCACCAACTAGTATAGCCCCCTGGCCAAGTAAGTGCACCTGCGGTCTGCTTTTGTAAATAAAGTTTTATTGGCACATGGCCACAGCCATCCGTTTACACACTGGTCTGTGGCTGCGGTTCTTGCTACAAGAGAAAGCTGATTGGCTGCCACGGACTATATGGCTCATTAAAAAATTACTACCGGTCCCAGCTGGCTTGGCTTTCTCTCTCTCTCTCTCCCTCTCCCTTCCTCTCTGAAATCAATAAAAATATATTTAAAAAACAAAATGGGACATAGGTCCCCCACACTCCTCGTCATGGAAAGTCTTTCCCACGCCCAGGGAGGGGGAAGTTGGAGGAAGCTGGATGTTTTCCACCGGAGGCTGGGACCCTGTTGCAGCCGTTGGAAGCCACGCTGCCGGCTTCCAGAGCAGATGTCAACAGATGCTTCTGTCCTTTGCCGCTCGCCACAGTCAGGGAAGGAAAGAAGCCAACATGCGCTGAAAACCTACTGTGTGCCGAGAACCTAGCATGTGCTTGCTCCCTGAACAGAAGGTGCCTGTATTTATCCAGAAGAGGACACTGTAGTGATGGGCGGGGGGACCCCGACGGTGATTTTGGAAGCCGTTTTGCATTTCCAAGAGAAAACCCCACGCAAGTCAGATTTCAGAGGCGTCGAGCCTCCCAGGGTCCCCGCCAGGCAGTGCTGGCTGCCCGGGGCGTTGCTGAACCCTTGTAGAACGGGTGACCTTGAAGGTCTCTCCCAGTATGGGTTCCTGTGATCCTATAAATAATGAGAGCCACGGGCGGCGGCGCCGTCCAGAGCTCCCAAAAGAAACGCCTGCTCCAGGCCCATCTTGTGCACGGGCGCAGCCGCGGCTCCCGAGGATGCGATGACTAACCCGGCCTGTGCGAGCGCCAGCAGCACCGTGAGATCGAGGGCCGACGGCTCGGTGACCACACGCTCTGGAAACGGAGCCCTTCAAACCCGCCGTGGATCGCACGCCCGGCTGTTGGTGCTGCCACGACTCGTATCAGGGCTCCGGAAGCTGGGTCTGCGAGGCACCCGCAAGGGGCTCCCAGCCATCCACGCGCACGGCCCACCTGGGTGACGGTCCGAGGCTCCCATCCTGGTTCCCTCTAGCGCAGTGGTTCTCAACCTTCCTGATGCCGTGACCCCATGTTGTGGTGACCCCCAATTTCATTGTTACAAATGGAACATAATGAAAGCGTCGTGATTCATCACAAAAACAATATGTAATTATATATGTGTTTTCCGATGGTCTTAGGCGACCCCTGTGAAAGGGTCGTTCGACCCCCAAAGGGGTCGCGACCCACAGGTTGAGAACCGCTGCTCTAGGCAGTGGCCCTACCCCTGCCCACTGTCCTCCTGTGGACACGGCACGGCTGGCACAGGCCCGGGGAGCACGCGGCCAGCTTGCCCTCATCACCTAACTGCCCACCCACTCACTCTGGCATTGCTCACGCTGGC